GAGGGGGCAGAGGAGGAGATGTGAAGGAATCAATGTCTTGATTGTTGGTTCAGACTTAAGCGGCTATATGGAAGACATCCTTGTTCGAGAAGCCAATGAAGCTTCACCGCAGGAAAATAAACTTGACGAATCGCCACAACTAAGATCGCGACAGTGTCTGTATGTTTCCGTCAACTTACCTGTCCAAACAGAGCTGGTGCAGTCCTGGTTATTTATCAGCGGAGGCGTGCGTCCATCGCGGCCAAGCGAGCCAACTTTTCCCAAGGCTTATTGCGTTTTCTCCCGTTTTTCGGGTAATGCTCACATCCTTTCAGAAGTGCCGGTTCCGGTTTGCGGAGGAAGAGACGGGCCGCGGTGTTGAGATGGCTCAGAACTTCAGATTGGGATCAAGGCACGTGGGCTTGCGGCAACCTGGAAAATGAATATCGCTGATTTAAATCAATCGCAGCAAAACAAAAACGTCCGAGTTGAGCAATTTTTTGGGGGTTCTGAGCAAATTGCGGCTTTTCATGGTAAATGTAGCGCAAGGAACCCGATTTGGTCACTCAAAATGGACGCCACACGCCCTAAAGACGGTGCCAGCCAATCAGTAAAGAAAGGCTATGAAAACAGTCGAAGAAGCCAAACAGGTCAGTAACTCAAGTTTAGAAAAAAAAAAATTATGTACTGCAATCATTTTCCGCACTAATAAAACTCAATGTGTGCGGTTTTAATGTCAATACCTGCCTCATTAAAAAATAAATAAATACATCGAATTAAGACTGTGAAGGTATGTTCTTACTTTTGAGCGTGAGAAAGTGGCCACACAAGCACACTCGAGAGTTTTTTTTTTTTTATTAAGAGTTAAGTGTTCCATCAATTGGGGAACATGTCACGCAATGCGTGAGTCCAATATTTTTCATGTCCACACCTCCAAAGCCAAAAGAGAAAATAAAATAAAATAAACGCACATTCGTGCTTTTACAGAGTGAAAAAAAAACATCAAATCTGGCGCGAGGCTCCTTTAAGAGCGCATTTGTATGAGTCAGGTCAGTCGTGCGGCTGTGATACATTACGGTCCTCCATGGGCATGTATTATACATAGCGTACGACTGAGTGACACATGAAGGTCGCAACACAATCATGTTACGGCCGCAAAGCTCACGTGAACTTTGCTCTGGCTCGCAAATACAAATCCTTTTAGCGACTCCGTCAATCCAAAATGAAGTGCGCAGAAAAGTGGGACGATTGCGGTGATCCTTGAACAAAATATGAAGCGAGATTAACCCTTACGGGGTCAGCGGTCACTAAAGTGGACAGTTGACCATATTATCAGGCTACAGGGCGCACGAAAGGGTTAAGAAGACGTCAAAAAGATTTGAATCGTGAACAAAGCGGGTCATCTGACCATTTCGTTTGAAGGCTGGCGCTGAGGTTCCCGCAACGGAAATGTGCAACGTGTGTATTATTGTGGGCGATGAAACGCCTCAGCTGAATGATAATGGCAATAAAAAATGCAGAAGCTCTAAGTTATTCATATCTCGCTTCCCCAAAAAGTCCGGTGGGAGGCTCGTATGAAGCCATCTTTGTATCTTGTTCTGCGTCCAGGCCCGCACACTCGCTCGCGTTAATGCGCGAGCGGACGCGTGCATGCGTCCACTTCCTCCCCCGTACAGCTCGGCCCACTGACTAAGAGTCCAAACATGCAGCTCATTAAAGTTAGATGGCGTCACAATCATTAATTCATGGCAAAAACAGGCAGCAAAGATGGCCGAGGGGCCGGCATTGTGACGGGATAACTGTTCGTTTTCTGCAAAGTGGTTCAGTGACACTTTAAAAAAAAACATCTAGACATTTTTTCTGCATCTATTTCATCCACCACCTGATAAAACCACAGAAGACAATCTCAGTTGATCTGTTTAATCCGGGTCATGGCACCAATTCAAAAGTTCTTTGATAACTTCCAGTCAGTCCTTTTATCTTGAATGCTCATTATGTTAACAGTAACTAACAAAAGACTGTATGTTCTCAGTTCAGCTAGTTAATGGATGCCAGTAAGATTATGGATACGGCCCTGGAACCTCGAAAAAGGTCATAACGACACAACGGCCTAGCTCAAGTCCCCTATTATGGATACGGCCCTGGAACCTCGAAAAAGGTCACGACACAACAGCCTTGCTCAAGTCCCCGATCTAAGTGTTTGCCTAATCTACCAGCCAGCAGTGACAAAACATGTGCTGCACAGTCAAGCGGTAAAATGATTAATTTGACATCATCTTGAGGCATCCTTGTCCTAAGGAACTATATTGAAGTGAATTGGGGAGCTTTGTTTAGACCAAAAAAAAATGGTGCTTTTCTGCAATCGTGTGCAACGTGGATGCCAAGAAAATATCGTGCGTCGCAAGGGTTGAACCACAATGCTACAACACCGGCGTAGCAAAACTGAAAGAGAAATTGTGGCAAACCTTTCACCGAGGCTATTTTGAACAGCATGTCATGAATGTGGGAAAAAAAATCCCTTTAAAAAAAAAAAAAAACAGGCATAATTGAGTCTTCATGCGTAAACAAAAGCAGGCTGGTCCGGTGAGTATGTCACCCTTCCTTCGAGAGGAGCAAGTGCCGCAGAGGGATAGCTGAGAAAGGTTATTTTCATGCCTCCGTGAACAAGGATGAGCGCAGTCATCTAATCGCTTCGGGGCCCCGTGGTACAAATCTCTCGAAATTGGTCAACTTTTTACACCAACGTACCACTTCCCACCATCATGACGGACATTAGAATCCGGTCGGGTAGCAGGCCCAAATGTTCATCGAAAGCGAGAATGAGATGACTGCAGAGAAAATACATCTGACGTTATGTTAAGACACGACCACATGATGCAGAGTTTAAAAATTGACAATGCGGTTTAAAACCTAATTTAAGGATGTACTTCAATAATGATTCCATTTCAAAAAAAATTCATAAAATAGTTGACTAAATATGTTTAACAAATCAGTTCTGAAACTTAAAAGTTAAATACAATCAAACTGTACTTTTGTAGTGATTCTTTCGACCGAAGGGAGCCTAAAAATGTCCGAGCCAACAATGTTGCCTCCCGTGGAGCGAAATGTGTTCGGATCTTTGTCGAGATTTTGATACAGCTCATGGATCACATTAGATTGAAGAGGCGTACCTCATGACGCATCCTTTGAGGGTAAATCTGTTCACATCGCTCTTATTATTGTACTGTAAGGTAACCTAAAACTGCTAAGCCACTTGCAGTACACATCAGATCAACGTCACATCAGATGTGTTTTGCCATAATCAACCTCATTTCCTGTCCGCCCTTCCGATAATAGGAGAGCGTCACGATAAATGAGTCTTCATATGTTTTCGTGCGTCCAACATCAGCTCACGTATATTCCCAAAGCCTGTCAGGAAGTGGGCCAACGCGGGGAGGGTTGAGATGTGCGATCTGACTTGGTTTTCTAATATAGGCCGTCTCATCAAGGGACAGGAAATGAAGGTTACATGGTTTGTTGTGAATGAGGTTAGGGACAATTTATGAATTCATGAACGATCATCCTGCCCATCCGGCCACGGTTATGACTGCCGCCACTGAGTCAAAGACTGACGTTATAGATCCATTTTTTTAATTAGAGATCATTTTTTTATGATATTGGGGCAATATTAGTGTAATTGTCATTATTTTAATGAGTATATGCATTAACTGTCTCGTCAGTTGATGCATTCATTTGGTGATGCTTTTCCCACAGCAGAGTCGAACCACAATTTTAACCACGTTGTGAAATGAACGCTTTTCTGACAGACTCCAAATCGAGCCTAATCTCTGGCCGTGTTTTTCTTTTGTTGCCAAAATGGGTAATCTGGTGTTCAATCAAATAAAGGCATGTTAAAACCTCAAATGAAGTTGTTTAGCCGCCCTCCTTCACATTGTTATGATTGCAGCCTGCAGGCCTCACTCGCGTACACGCTTTACTACGGGTAACACTCGCCCCCGCCCCCTCCCTTTTCCATTCCTGTCTAGACCAGTGCGCGTCCTGCACATATCCAGAAAACGCCCCCCTTCATAAGATATTGATTGTGTTTATTTCCAACATTGACGATGATCGCTCCGATTTGCTCCACTAACCTATTTCCCTCCACGCCGACATCTGAAGGAACGGCAGCGTGGATGACAACATCCGCGGCGATGCCCACCTTGACGCCGAGGTGCTTAGCGGTGCAACGTGGACCGATAGGGGGACGCGAACACTTTACAATCAGGAACAAGAACCATAAAACACAATGCGGGTTGAGCAGCGGCAGCCAAACGCGCCAACGTTCACTCAACCCGGAAGTCAGAAAAAAAAGGGGGGGGGGGGGGGGGGGGAGAAAAAAAAAAAAACATCCCAGCTCGCTTGTTTTGCAGCGCTGCCGTTCTGCGCATCTTACCGTGCAACATGACCTCGCCTCCCGTCCGGCTTGCAGAGGATGGCTTCTGCTTCTGGCTTTGATCCTTGAGGGGGCAGGGGGGAGACAACAAACAGGCAAAACGATGACGACTGGTGTCAAAACGTGCAACGGTTCATATTTGCGTCGGGTCTGAGTGTTCGGATGCGCCTACCGCCCGAGCTTAGCCGAGTTATGGCAGCCTGCTTGGAGCCGAGAGGAGCCCCCCCTCCTCCTCCCCTCGCCCCCATAGCCGTCTTCATACACCAGCATCCGGCTCGAGGAGGACACACCGACTGGCTCACAACAGCATCATTGCAACATGCGAGTTCAACTCTTGACTTCTTTTTTTTTTTTAAATGACGTGCATCTCATTAAGTCCAGTTTGCTTTTTACACACCGCCATGGTCATTACACTCCTCACACAATAAAACAAGACCTTTTGTGTAGAATCGAATCAGTTCTTGGAGGCTGAAATGTCAACATTTTTAGGCAGACAGATGACAGCACATGACATAGCCATTTTTTTTTCTACTCGAGCCATCCATTTTTTATATCGCCATGCCACCGTGAGCAACACAATTATTATGTCGGACAAGTGCTGTGTGTTCTACGACCCGCTGACTCCATCCAATTATCAGATTACAGAACGCTGCACTGGCGATGTCAAAGCAATGGCAGCATCCGGCTTTTTGGCTGGTGCACGGACGAATAAATGCATACTAGTTCTTCTGTTGAGTCCGTTTGCATAAATCCTGAGGGGATGTGATGACAGCTCGAGTCCGGAGGCAATGGACATCGCCAAACTTGGGAGTTTTCTCTCTGGAGATGCTTTGACGGGCCTTCACGTGCTGCTCATTTGTGAGTAGGGAAGCGATACACTTTTGTCTCCAGTTGGTGAAAGGCATGCTCGAGTCGCTTGTTTGAGAGAAAAGTCAATTTCTTTGCCTTCAAAAAGGCGAATGGTTCACATGACAAAACTGTTTTTTGAGTGTGTGTGTGTGTGTGATGTGAAAAGCACTTATTTTGAGCCTTCACATGCTTTTACAAATTGGAAAAGAAAGAGAAAAAAAAAGATGGTCAACAAATACACTGGACACCAATTAAAAAAGAGCTAATAGAAGTGAATTTACTCATTTAGCCAAATGACTTGGTCAAAATACGAAAAACCATCCTCGGTATGATGTAATACACTTTTATAGTCCTGTAACCCAAAACCACTAAGTACATCTTAAGGCATACTTGGACAATACATTTGAGACATCTGTCAGTCAAACTCAGTGCACTTTTACACCAGACACGACTTTATTTTATTTTTTTTAAATGTATGCATGAGTCGATGGTACATCGATATATTCGGTCAAATATGCGTGTTCCGGTGGGAAAACTTAAAAGCTGTTGTCAATATCCAGGCCCCGTTTCACATCTGACGTGGCCCCGGGAAGCCGTTGAATCGCATTAAGATGGAAGTAGTACATGGTGGTGTTTATTGCTTGGAAAATATCGACGCGGAAATCTTCCTCCACAAACTTCCGTGTCATTTATTGATTTTGCCGTGCTGAGGAAACAAATCATTCAGTGGGAATGACCGCCATTTTTTGCTGACCTCTCCTGGAAGTGAACACCGAGTCAATGAGGTGATGCTATCTCTGATGAGAGGCACTAAAGTGGTGCCCAAAAAGTTACGATCAAGTGGCCCAACAAAGTATTTACACGCATAAATGCCCCCCGTAACATTTGAGTGTCTCTGAACAAACACTGAACGACCTGTTAACTTGTATCACCTTCAAGTGTCTTTCAAATAAATTACATCATCACTTCCAGTGATTATCCCAGACTTTTGTAGGCCTACTGTAGATCATTTAAAAATGCTGGTTATGAAGCGTGTCCCAAATGAAATAAAGTTATTGAAAGCACACACAATAATAAAAAAACATGGTCGCGTAGTCACCCGAGATATGAAATACATGTATTGCAGTGCACAGTTTCTACCAGCAGAGGCCACTGTCGCTCTTCACATAAAATAACGTGAAAGTAGGTGGGCGCCCAAAGTTTATCTGGAAGTGAACACCGAGTCAATGAGGTGATGCTATCTCTGATGAGAGGCACTAAAGTGGTGCCCAAAAAGTTACGATCAAGTGGCCCAACAAAGTATTTACACGCATAAATGCCCCCCGTAACATTTGAGTGTCTCTGAACAAACACTGAACGACCTGTTAACTTGTATCACCTTCAAGTGTCTTTCAAATAAATTACATCATCACTTCCAGTGATTATCCCAGACTTTTGTAGGCCTACTGTAGATCATTTTAAAATGCTGGTTATGAAGCGTGTCCCCAAATGAAATAAAGTTATTGAAAGCACACACAAAAATAAAACAAAATGGTCGCGTAGTCACCCGACATATGAAATACATGTCTTGCAGTGCACGGTTGCTACCAGCAGAGGCCACTGTCGCTCTTCACATAAAATAACGTGAAAGTAGGTGGGCGCCCAAAGTTTATTCTACCTCTAAATTGGATTAATTTAATGATTCAATCAAACATGTCCTACACACAAGTTAAAATACACGTTGTACTGAGATTAAGAAAAAAAAGTTAAATATCAAATGCAAGTGAATTGTCAACTGAAATGTCCATAAACATGGATTGCAAAAATAGTGAATAAAAAAAGGCACTGCCCATGGGGGACAAAAAAAGGTACTGGACTGGGTTGAACATTTTTCAGTGGTTTACCAGGCTGTATGCAGAGCTACCATCTTACGTTCTAATTTAATTGCATTTTGTTTGAAACGCTGCAAATTTTATTTGTATTATTTTTCACTTACCACTAGAGGGAGCCCGCATACCACTGGTGGTCGTCGTACCACACTGAGTCGTACCGCTTTAATCAATAGTGAACAAAACAGACACCAAAGTAAAATGTTTATTCTATTTTACTTTATACTTAGGGCCTAGTAGTGTTTTTCAACCATTTTAACTTTGCTACTGCCAAAAGTCAGTGACTGACACCGGCACAATATGACTTTTGCACAAATTCATTGACAACAACGAAACTCCATGACTATACTAGCACAAAAAGAAGTTGACCTGCAGGTCATGAAAGCGGAAAAAGTACTCACCCATTTCATTTTTCAGCTCACTGTAGCGGCGCACATTTTTTTTTTTATTAAAGCTTTGGCCATATTGTACTGAGAGACCATGACAGAGACGCCGCTGTCTTGCAATACACCAATTTTCCTCTTTTGACAGCAAACATCCCCAAAATGAAAGAATGTAATATTTATGTTCGCAGGGCAGAGTGCTGTTCAAAAAAGGTCCAACATTTTCTTCATGCAGCCACGTAAGAATCCCCTCCCGCCCCCTGCTTCTCCCCACAGTGTGACCTCAACCACTTTTGTAGTTTAACATAGAAATTGTTCCTTTTCTGACGGTCTGCATATCAGGTCGGCGGAGCGCCGTGCGTGGCATCCTTGTACCTGCAGCAGCTTGGCACCGGGGCAGGCGCGTTGTCCTCCAATAGGCCAGCGTGACAACGTTGTTCGGTGGTGGCTGTAGGCGGCGGCATAAATTTACTCTTTGTGTCCCGCCTGCTGCCTCTCAGGCCAGGCCACGAGAAGAGAGGCCGCTGCGAGCTTTATGACAAAATGCTTCATCCCCCATTAACCTTCACAGAGTGGGTATCAGGAGGGGATTTCGGGCAGAATAAAGCACCAGTGTGAGAAGGCGCCCGTCCTTCATTTCTCCTCTTTCAGTGGGTCATCCCTTTAGCCGGACTCGGCCGGGAAAGCGTTGATAAGAAAATGATTGAGTATCATTGGGCCTTGGTCACCAAAACAATTCATGATCCCCGGTTGCTGTGCGGAATACAAAGAAAGTCTTATGTGATTTATTCTTCTTCGATGTGTAATCGGGAAGCTTTCTCACACGCGAGTGCGCCATTCACAATCGAAATGGGCCACCTGGCCATTACAGTTGCGGCAAGTGGAAATGGAAGAAAAAGTGCAGTTGGTCACCACCCCCTTTTTGCAGCTACAGCGGCTTCTGAGGGGGACGACAAGTTGCCGGAGTGTGCCTTTGGGAATTTTCATCATCGACATTGGACGCGGGAGAGAGGACCTGGCTCGCTCACCGTCGACATTCGAGTTCATGCCACGGTGATTGATGGGGGCTCTTCCGCAACAGAATCAACAAAGCACGACTGCGTGGGCTTTGATTTACTGAAGGAGAGACATGCTGCAATTGAAATTTGAAAAACCTGGGAGAGCCTCATTCCTCAACAAAACACAATTTATGACAAGTGTAGTTTCAGTTTGCCACCATTTCACGTAACTTGACGTGAACTGGTAACTGAAAATCTATTTTAGTCACCGAACCAGGAACTCAAGTCAACTCAACTGTATTTCTAGAGCACTTTAAAACAAACACCGTTGTATACAAAGTGCTGTCCATGGAGCAAATATTATATGTACAACAATAAAACAATAAATTCTTCAGAAAGACAGTAGAAAGCACAAAAACTGTCGAACTAAAAATCAACTCTCATGCCGAGTCCAAAGCCAAAGAACACAAATGAGTTTTAAGACGAGTTTCAAAGACGGGCAGCGAGAGGGCTTGCCGAACGGTCATTCCAAAGAGAGGGGACCAGCAACGGAAAAGACTCAATCCGCTTAGTTCTCGGTACCTCTAATAGTGTCTGGTCTGCAGACCTGAGGCACGGGCCGGTATGATGGGGCGAGGCCATTTTAAGATTTGAAAACAAATAAAAGGATCTTAAAAAGAACTCTAAAATGTATAGAGAGCTCGTAAAGAGATGCCAGAGTAGGAATTATGTGCTCCCTCTCAGAAGTACCAGTCAAGAGACGAGCAGCAGCATTGTGGACCAACTGGAGAAGCTTCATGGAGGATTGGCTGCCACCAAATTCAAGTGCATTACAGTAATCCAGTTGAGATGTGACGAAGGCATGAATGACTGTTTCAAACTGCTCTTGAGAAAGGAGAGGCTTTTGTGTATGTAGCCAGCTGCCTAAGATGAAAGAAGCCGGATTTACCAACGGCACCAACCTGCCAGTCCAATTTGAAATCACTGTCCAGTTTAAGACAGTCAACAGTCTGTACGCAAACTTCATAGCTCCTGTGCGAGAGACTGAAATATTTTCCATTTCTATGGATTTTGGGCCATCAATCTTCAAGATGAAATAAAGACTTTATTTCTATCTTTATTCTGC